AAAGGTCTTAGCTTCAAAATCATGTTTTGTTTTTTTGGTGTTACATTTCCATTTCTGGTATACTAAAGGATATACAATACCAATAAAAAGTTGTGGGACTAGGTGTCCTGCACTATATATAGATAGTCACACATGGAAATTTACCTGAACTTGAATAGCTATTATGCAAACTGATCCTTTTTTGGCTTGCATTTCAGGCATTCCATCATTTACCACACGCAAGAGCTTAAAATTGCCATCACGAATCTTTTCAGGACTAGTACTACCAATGAGGCGTGAAGATTCCAGGAATACAAGTTCATATTCTACATCATCAACCGTAAGGATCATCATAAAGTCCAATATTGTTGCTGTTCTGATTTTTGCGCCGAAGCTTGCTTTGCTCTCTTTTTCTGCACAAAACTTCATTTCATTTTATGATTTGAAAGCAAATTACAGCAATGAAAATATAATGTTCGAACAAAGTGGTTGCAAAGATGGTTGAAAACAGGCGTCGCAACTACCATCAAAAGTTGCGATAAGTATCTATAATAATTAATTTACGTTGTAATTCTCAAATGGCAAGTTTTTAATGCTGCCCAAATAAGTGGTACTATTATTCTGTCATGAATGTATCTTCATTTATGTCTTGCTTGCACTATAATTTCTGAACAATGGATTATTCTAAATGTCTCGTCTGTTATAGCAAACATAATAAACATTTAAAATTTTCAGTTTAATTGTTCTTACTAGAGTTACCACTTAAACTACTCACAAAACCTCAAGATTTCATTAAAAGTTTTACTTCCGGATCAATAAATTGCTTGTTGTGCAGAAATTCATTTATCTTTACCATCGTCAACAACTTACTATTATCATCCGATATTTGTGGTTTCATTCGTGCAGCAGGTTCCTACACGCGCGCGCGCGCTTGCTTTAGAGTTATAAAGAGTTATGTAGTGTGTTACGCAATAAGGTTTTAGGTATAAAATGTTGGAATTAGCTTTAAAAATTTTAGTATGTTTTTTAGACATTTATTTATTGATAAATATTTCTAAAAAATATACACACTAACTATACGCGAAAAAAATCAGGGTTACTATGAATGGTACATCTCTAGTTATAAATGAACAAACATCCAAAAATTGCAGAAACCAATGCACAAGTATACCATAAACTGACATCATAATACAGAAGGCAAGTTTTTCACAATAGCCGAATCGCTCGTGGATTTTCACACGTCGGGTCTTTTTTATCAACACTCTATTACTATGTTTTTAGCCAATTTATGGCATTTTGATCGGTTAACTGATAACAATTCAGAACCAAAATTAAATTATATGCCGACTCACTGATCTGGTCCACAGTTTTCTCATGAAGCATCGTTTAAGTAGTTGAAAAGCAACTTATTGATGGTTGGTTATTAAGAAAATGTATCAAAAGCAATTTATCAAAATGTTGGCATGAAACCTAATATTGAAAAGATCATACCATCTTAGCTCAATTGAAATCACAATTTGATAATACGAAGAACTTGATTCAAACATTGCAGATATTAATGATACTGTCAAAATTATCAAACACAACAAGCTACCATATCTTTGAATAGAAAGTCAAATTGGCAAGAATAAATATATTTATTGGATTATGCAAACATGATAAATTTATACTAATCAATTATTATTATCAACTAATTTGAATCAAGATTCAATTGAAACGAGAATTGAAAATGAAGATGACTTAAAATCTGTTATTCAAATCAAATCAGAACCAAAATCAGCTTCTACTTTTAAATAAAGCTGAAAAGAATGTAAATTTAAATATTTTAAACTTGGTTTACTGCAGAAATGCATTTTAAGAATAAGCCAATATCTTGTTTTTTTCTATTATTAATAAACTGGAAAGTATTACCCACAAACTCTTGGCGGAAATATAGGAGAATCTTATGAAGTTAGTTGTATTCAAATCAATATTTCTTACTTTGGAAAAAGTTAAAGTGCAAGTTCACTTCGGGGAACCCATATTTACACTAGTGATTGGCATTTCAATAAGGGTATTTTTATCAATAGATTATAATTCAAATTCGAATATTAAATTATTCTCTTCTTATGATGTAATTACAATAATTAAGTTTTTGCCAGGCCGACGTGGTATATTGGTCCTTACTCTAACAATATAATTCAAGTGTTTATGATTCTTATGGGCAAATGAAGATTATAGAACTGTGACAGTCCTCTGCATTCTGTGCTCAAATGAAAAATTGTGACAGCCTGGAATAGAGATGTTAATGCCTTCAGAAATATTCATTTCATTACAACTTACATGACAGGAAATTAAAGTAGACGACCAGATATTTTCACACAATCTAACCCAACTTGTTAAAAGTATATATTTTTAAATCAACAATAATATTTAGAATAGTGTTTATACATCATCAATTTATTATTAAATAAATAAATTAAAAATAGTTGGTTAGTGTGCTTATGGTTGCTTGAATTGGAACATAATTATTAGCATTACCAGAAGATAATCTACCAATTTCATATATATTCCAAATACCATCAATTTTGTTTTTAGAAACAACACACATTATTACAGCTTGCGAAGATGCCGCCATTCGTATATTATATCTACATAGCTGTTCATTAGGTTTATCTGGATCATATAATCTAAAACTTGGATTGGGAAAACTCCCAATATTAGGTGACCTCCATGATGACAATATAAAATATAATTTTGTTACATTTAATGGTAAACTAGACAAATTGACCGTTATACGATGATGACCTTATTATTTATACATTACATGTATAAATTAATTAATTAATTAATTATTAATATTAATAAACAAATTTCTTTTTTTTTTAAAAACCATTTACCTCTTTTATTTTGAGCGTCCATCACATCACCAGAATGTGATATATCTTTTAGGTCAATGTGTATTCTTGAAGCATAATCGAATTTTCTATTAAATGTTCTATCATTATACAACATACAAGTACCATCCAAAAAATCACACAATCCTCCAGGAAATCCCCAAAATAAATCAAATGTTAAATTATTAAGTGATTGATTTTTTGAGATCGAGTAAAGTAACACGATTAATTGTATATGACTCCCTTCTACAATTTGATAATCTGACAATTTCTTTTCGAAATGGTTTTTATGATAATCCTATTAAATAAATAAATTATATATTATTATTATAATATAAATATAATATACATCAGTTATATTATTTATATAACGCCACCTCTAATTCGACTTCATTATAAATTAATTTTTGTTTAGTGACTTCTATTTTAATTTCTGAATTTATCGCTTGTTTAAGAGCGAGGATAGTTTTGATCTTTTCTAACCTTAATTGGATCTTATGACCATCTAACATTACAACATAAAAGTTTCCAACGAGGTTTGTTCTATTAACGAAAGAAGTACTTGGTAGTTTTTTATTATCATCAATAACATTTATACTGTTAATATCAATCTTGAATGAAGCTTGGTCCCATGAAAATCTTACATTTTCAATTTCTTTTTGATTTAAAGAAGTTTTACATTCAGGACATTGTCTTGAATTTCGACCATTCAAATAATTTGTTATACATTTTAAACAAAAACTAGGAACGTGTTGACACTTATTACTGATAACGTCGGCTGGAAATTCACGAGATAATTTGTCAACTTGACAATTTTTACATTTCATTTTTATTTATGGATTTTTGTTCAAAAAAATTTTGAAATAAAATGAATGAATTTTTTTAAAATTGAACCATTGTTTACTATTACACCTACTTCAATTACACCAACCGGTTCGTTTTTTATTTTGGTCGGCGGCTATCTTATACTAAAAGGGGTATTATTGTGTAGGTTGTAAATCTATTGAATGATAGCTTGGAAAAACAAAATCTTCTTCGATTAATTTTCTTAATTGATTGACAATAAATTTTTCCAATTTTCCAACATTTTTTAAAACTAAAAAAATAAATTTATATTTAATAACCATTGTTTTGAAATACTTTATACATGTAAATTTTTTATAATGTATTTAAAAATTAACCATAATTGATCATACTTTACCTTGTTTCTCTTTATCTCCAATTTCAGATTCAATGTGAACATCCTTCAATGGGCTTTATATATATAAGAATATGTATAATGTAAGCAATAAGTTGGCAAGTTTTATTAGATATTTATAATATTAATAATTATTATTAGATTATTAAATTATCTAACCTTTCTTCAGGATTTTTTGATTCCAAGAAACAAAAATTAACTCTGTTTTTAAAAAATGCCACCACTGCTGTAGCTATAATATTATATATTGGATTTTTTTAAGTGATGATAACAAATTAAAAATTAAATTGGTGATAATAATAATAATTATAGAGAAAATAGAAAAATTACCAGAAAACTCAAATCCAGTGACATTCAATCTAATCGGTAAACTCATAAATCTCATACTAGGATAATTCATAAACAATTCTGTTGTAATTGTCATTTTCATATCTCCTTTATATGATATCGCAACATGTATTTGTGTATCCGTTGTATCTTGTAGAATTGACACCTCCTCTTCATGTCCTTCCTCGTGATCTTGTTCTTCTACAATTTCTTCTTCCTCTTCTTCCAGTAATTGTTCTTCAGGTGTTCTAACAAAATGTAAATGTTCTTTTTCTTCTACATATTCTACAATATATTCAGTATCTTCATCTTTGTAACGATGATGATAATAATGATTATTACTATTACTATTATCATTATCATTATAATTATCATTATCATTATTGCTATATTGAAGAAATGATTGTTTATTTCGATTTTGTTGCTTTTGATGTTCTTGTTGTTCGTAATAAATATATTCTTGAGTTCTATCTAAAATTATTTGCATTGGAGCTGTCATATTATTATTATTATTATTACTGCTATTACTACTATTATTATTACTACTATTGCTATTACTATTACTATTAATATTAATATTAGTGTTATCATTACATAGTTTATTTTTGTTTCCACCACCATTCTTGCCACTACTACTATCACCATCGCCACCACCTGCTACATTATTATTATTATTAACAGCTGTTCCATCACTTAACGATTGTGATTCTACGCTGTCAGTACCACTCTCAACTTCAACTGTTGTTGCGCTATCAGATAAATAAAATTCCGGGAAAGGATCGGTTATATCTATAACTTCTATTAGTGGTGGTATTGTACCAAAATCAAGATCTGAAATTTCTATGTCTCCTATAAACGAAGGTTTGTTATTAATAGTATTATTACGAAAATGATTGTTTAATATAGTTTGAACCTTATTTGCAACCTCACTGTCTAACTTTTCCCAAAATATATCAAAGGACATGTTGCTGATTCTAAACGCAAACAAAAAATTTTAATTTTAAATTTTAAATTCGAGATCAGCAGACATATACGTCATTCATCCAATTTATTAGAAGCAAAAAAAATTTGGAAGGCAAATTCTTTGATAAAAAAAATCTGTAGATGATAGTGATCCTATGCACTCTTACACTTGCACAGAATTTTAGGCACATAAACCAGTTCAAACAAACACTTTGTCCCGTGCCATTTTCCTCCTTCATAACTAGTTTTAGTTTTCTCGGTTCATGATTCATAGGTCTGACTTTGCCTATCAAATTAGTTGAATACGTTTGTAAATTCAAAACTCGTGATTTTGACATTCATGAAAAAAAAATAAATATATATATAAAGCAATAACTAAAAAAATAAAAAATACATAAATTTTTTTTTTTAAAGCTAATTTAAAGATGTTTTTTTTATTTTATTCATCATAGTTTTTCTTTAATAATTCGGTTGCCTCTTCAAGTGCACTTTTCATCTCTTTATTCTTCAGATCAAGTCCCAACCCAATTTCAAAACTTTTGATTGCCTCCTGATATTTTTTCATTCCCATCAAAGCTTTACCTTTTCTAAAATATCCTTTTGGGTAATTTTCTTTTATCCTATTAGAAAATTCTGCATCCACATATGCACTAACCCAATCCTCCAATCCTATATAAGCTGCTGCTCGATTACTCAAACAAATTGCCAAATCTTGTTCTGCAATTTCATGTGGTTCCCAAAACGGTCGCTGGAAAGCCAGTTCTATAGCTGTAGTATAATATTTTATTGCATCATTATAGCTTTGTGCATTATAAAGCTTGTTGCCTTCATCTTTTAAACCTGTTATTTGTTTGGAAACATACTGATCCACAGCATTTGGAGGTGGTATATTGCCTTTTATTGCCAATAATGATTTATGAAGCGAGTTTAACGGAGCTAGATTTAAATCACAAGTTGAACATGTTTCAAGATGGTGTGGTCGACAGTATATTATGTCATCTTCAATTAATAAATCTCGAGGTTTATAATTATAAATACTCATTTTTTATTTTATTGGAGATGTCTAAAAATAATAGACCATGTTGCACAATACTTGTTAATCACAAAATATATATTTAATATTAAAAATCGAGCGAGCAGTCTTGGGATAATTTTATTGATTCTGGAGAATTATTAAGATATTTGATATTTATAATAATAACAATAATAATAGTGGTAATAATCTCACTTGTAAAGAATTTGCAAACGCCTCAAAAAATTTTGGGTTGTAAAAGAAATATAATTGGTTCAATTAATAAACTGCCTCTGGATGATATTTATTATGCTTCCAAAATAATTTTGATCAAACAACCCTTCTGTTAATTGATATTTTTGTCATGCTTTCGACAGATGTTCCTTAGTAAGTCTTTATATATATAAAAATATCTTTATTTTTTTTTACATTTAATTAAAGTTTTCAACTTTTTTCCTTTAAAAACCATTGCATCTACTATTTAATTTATCATTTAATTTTAACGACTAATTTCTTTTATTCTATTCCCTCCTAAAGTCATTCAAGAGCTTGTTTAATTTGCCAACTAGTTCATTAATTAGATTATCGATCCATCGTACTAAGTTTCAATTAATTCTTTAATAATAATGAGAGATTTTTTTGGTATCTATCAGCGATCATCAAGTTGGTTTTTATTTAAATGAAAGGGACAAAATGTTCAATAGTTTTTCATCATTAGAAAATATTATCTAACAACCTTATAACTTCTATTGAATACAACTTATCATCAAGATATATTAGTAAACTTGAACAATCGAATTTTTATGATGCAAAATTTAGAGTTGGATTGGATGAAGGAGAATGTTAAAAATTTTTAAAATTCATTCCAACATTTTAAAAAGCAAGATCCTTATATTTTAAAACAGCTTTATCAAATAATTGAATTAAAAGATCTGATGATGGTAGTATTATTTTATTTGAAAAAGGAAATATAAAAGCATTTGAAGTCATGTTATTATAAGATTTGATTTATTGAACTATCATAACAATTTATTTATTACTTGTTTATTTTAAAGATATCTTTACAACGGAGTTGTTAATGTAGATAATTTAAATACTGATGAAAAAACAGAATGGATTCATCAAAATATAATTCATCTTTATAAAATAACAATCATATACATTAATTCAAACTAATTGTGATGTATTGTTTTGCAGTAATTCGGAAATTTTTTTAAAAAAACCTAATGGTAAAAATGGAAATATCACAGATATTGAAAAATCTATGCTAATGTCTTTATTAGAAAATGATAATTGGAATTATATGAAATAAATGTTTTGAACTACATTATTCAAATGGGGAACAAGTCAAACTAAAGATTTGGAAAGGATATTCAGAACCAAAATTCATAATTGAATAAGATCCAAGAGGAATAGGAAATTTATTAAATTTAAAAGTGAAGTTCTTACTTTCTAATTAGATTAATAAAACATATTACTCACATTACATTATTAATAATGATTGCTAGATCTGTTTTTGAGGATAAATGTCACGCACTGTGACTAAATGAGAGTTAAAGAAACTGCTGAATTAGTTGTGGATGGACACAACCCAGTTTGTTGAAGTATTGAAATAAATCATTAAGAGATTTAAACAAATAAAAGTTCTATTTTCAAGATTGATGAAAATATTGATAATTCTAAGGAGAGCCGAAGATATATTAATTAAACATGCAAAGAATTCATGATTTAAAACTATGTAACAGTATTAATCATGAAACTTATTATTATCACTATTTGATTATGAATGTTCATATGGAAATTATTTAAATTTTAGAAATAAAAATAAAACAAACAGTTCATTTGATAAAAGAATATATATAGAATAGTAAAGAAAAATTAATTTTAAATATTTTATTTTTATTTTTTGTGAAATAATGCATTTCTTAATAATGGATATTTTATAAATATATGATATATAATGAATAAAAACTAAAACAACAATAACAAGAAGATTTATATATTTATCATGGAAGGACCAAGGTTAATTTTTTACAAACTTTGCAAGAAAAGGTCCAATAGTTAAATCATCTAATTCATCAGAAACTTGTTGACAAATTGGAATAATCAAATGATGAATATTCTCAATTTGTTCTCGAATCAATTTGTTTTGATCATTTATTAGCTTTAGATTATTTTTTTTGGCATCTATTTCTCTTCTTGATTTATCTAATTCACAGTCCACTTCATGAATATTCTCAATTTGTTCTCGAATCAATTTGTTTTGATCATTTATTAGCTTTAGATTATTTTTTTTGGCATCTATTTCTCTTCTTGATTTATCTAATTCACAGTCCACTTCATGACATTTCTTTGTTGCATGCCTTTCCAATCTAACCAATGATTGTAATTCTCTTTCTTGATCTAAGATTTAATTATAATTATTATATGCATGTTAATTAATTTTACATAATAATTAATAATGAAGAATTTGTTTTTTACCATCATGATAACGATTAAAAGATTCTGAAAATATTTGAAATGGAACATCTAATTTCTTAAGTTGATGATCTTTTGTGGGCAAAAAAATTAGTTTAGTACTCGTTCATCTTACAAAATTTAGAGAAAAAGAAAAAAATCTTTACTTGGAGCTGAATTGTTGAAAGGACCTCCTCCTATCATTGGACTTTGAGTTAAAAACTAAAAAATAAAATAAAATAACTCAAATCATTATATATATATATAAATGTAAATATAATATTTTTTTACATTGTAACGACTTGTTATGTTATTGGTGACACTGCCATTGCTATGATTAGGATTATTATTGATGTGACCATTGACGATAACCCCATTGCCATTTCTGGACCTTAATGCGCGTCTATTTGACGTCGGTGATCGAGAACTACTTCCTTCTATATATATGTAGATTACACGTTGTTAGGAATTTAAATGAAATGTATAAAGATATTTATTATAATTGACCATTATTCTCTTCTCGTTGCTCCTCTTCTCCTCCAACTTCTTCATCGACTTCCATAGAAGAAGAATCTGCACTAGTATCTTCGCGTTCTTCTATTACATCGCCGTTTGGAATGTAGTCCTCATCATCATCAGACTCGTCAGAGCATTCTGTATTCATATTTAACCAAAAATCTTTGCCTGGACTTTTCATATTTTCTTTTTGTTTTAATAATATTATACCTTTTTTTAAACAAATAGGTTGATTTATTATTATTATTATTATTATCTGTAATATGGTTGGCTAGACCTCCTATTGCTGCGCCATACGGCCAAATTTCAAAATAGCAAAAAATAGGACTTCACGTGATTTTAGTTTTCTTACTGTCAAAATTAGATAAGATAGTCAAGCCTAGTCTAAATTTGGTAACATCCTTAAATTTAGAAATGATCATAGTGGACAAATTCCTCGCGAGCATAGTAAAGTACATGTTTTAAAAAAGAATAGAACTCTACAACAAATAATTTTTTTGAGAAAATCTCTCTATTACATTAAAACTAAAGACATATTCTATCAACTAATAGAGCTATTTTTTTAAAAGGTAGGACAGAAAGTGACTTCTATACTTTTAAAATTTGCCCAAAATTTAGGAAGTCTTTAGACCGAACCAACTATATATAGTGACTTAATTCGCAGATCATTTTATAATCGATTAGCCGTAGCCGCGGCTAGATTTGAGCCGCTAAATTTCAGTGACCCAAATAAGCAACACAATCAGCTTTCATTATCCTCAACAGTACAATGCACAAAAGAATTTTCACCTTTCTGACCGGTCATTTCCCTGATAAATGATTTGCTGGAAAAATCTTAACTCAATGAAACAAGAGTTCACAGTTACAGAAGATCTTCCAAGTGTCACTTCTCAACTTGTTACATATGGGATGAAAGCGCAAGAGGAGGGAGATAAGGAAATCTTTTTAGTATGTAGTTCACATTGGAATATGATCAAAGAGGGATCCTGCATTTACAATTCTAAGCATGAAAGACTTGGACCGTTGGACTTCAACTGGTGTATCTACATCTGTGCTGGAATTCAATTTGAGTCCTTTACACTGTATATATTGATTTATCAAATGCAAGTAGAATTTACACTTCAAAGAAATAAAACTCTGTAATGGAATCATCATTTTAAATAAAATTAATCTTTAAAACATCCGAAAAATGGTAACATATATTCTATGTATATTAATATTTATTACTAGTTTCGTTTAAAATGCTTTGGTAAAAAGCAACAAGTGTAGTGCCTGATAAAAAAGCAATAATTGTGGAAAGCCATGTTTTATTTACTTGGTGAATGAGCAAAGGTTAGGACTGTTAACAACGGTCAGTGAAGCATTGTCCAAGTATTGTCTGAAGGTTAATTGGAAATATCGGTAGTGAGTGTTATTGTAATAAAATCATTATTGTAAATGTAACATGCTGCTTAAATTGTTTCTAAATAAACCAATAAAAATAAACAAGGGTAGATGATTGAAATGAACAAGGGCCATAAGTGAATAAAAAGAACCCTTTGAACTTTGTGAGCTATGCAGTTATCCCATACCGTTGATTGTGCTTACAAATTCGGGTATATACAAGAAAGAGGCAGCAAAAATAAATTCATAAACTAATTAATTGTCAAACACCAAATTATTGTGAATCGCAGGGTAACCCAAAAGCCATCGCCAGCCATACATACCTGTTAAATTATCAGTGTTACCGAAATAACTTTGTGACAATAATAATAATAATAACCGGTGATCATTTTAAAAAATAAATAAATCATTTACAATCTAGCTACATTAACGCACAGTTAGTTAGACTTTGATTGTTTTAAACAACCCATCCATTAATTAAAAGTATTTTATATATAAAAATGATAAATTAATATAATTTTAGACACAAAAAATAATTCTACAAAAGAAAAATGACTTATCAAAATTTAAAAAATTAAAATTACAAATTAATAAATATACAAAAAGTGAATAAGTGATAAATAAATAAATAGAATATCATAAAATATAATCTTTACTCTTAGCATGCAGTTTACATTGCTTGCAAACCCATTTAACATCTGCAGTCTCCTTCAATATAACTAAACT